CAGGACGGTGAAACATTTGGCAGCCGAGGCGTCAATCAGCAGAGACAACGCTGCTCGTGTCACCAGGAAAGGTGGTCGTGTTCTTGTCCCCATATCTGAGGTAACCCTTCCCCATTTCGAACATCGAGTTTATCTTTTCACTTCCAGGAGCTGCAGATCAGAGATGAAGCCTTTTAGGAACAGGCGGAATACCCCACAGCATACAAGCAGTTCAGGAAAAATAGGTCATGCCATGAAAGTATTTTTAACAGGAATGGCCCTTTTTGATGCAAGGTTATTCCCCACGAATACACCTTCCCGGTACTCCCAACCCTCCCTTGGCAGCGGGATTACAACATCGCTGAAGTGCGGGAGGGTGTTTACTCTGCAGGCTCCAGGGATTCCAGCAAGGCATGAGCTGGCTGCTCCCTCTGATGGAAAAAGGAGGGTTTGCACTTTGCAGCAGTAAACGCTTTTTAAAGGGAGATTATTATTTTTAAGCGCAGCACAAGAAGGACACCCCACCCACCGTCAGCTGGACCACCTTCTCGTGTTTCACTCCACGACTCCTACATGATGGAGGAAGAAAAACCTGCACCCCGGGCTTGTGTTCCTGGCAACTGCAAGTCTGAGGTAAGACTGTGTTATCTCGGAAGTGTACAGATGCGCGGCAGGGAATAGGCCCTACCACAGAGATCCTCTCTGAGCAGAGGGAACTTCCCAGAATCTCGTCAGCCTAAATATAGAGCTGGTTTTTAAAAGCATGACAGGAGCCACTGGGGCACTGAGACCCACCGCATGCAGAGCAGTGGGGAGTCAGACACAGCCTTCCTTGTCACTACGGGTAATTTTAATCAGCAGTGGGGTTCAAATGCTCAAGCAGGAGACGTCTGGCAGCCACGGACCTACGGGTGTTCCTAAACTCCTGTAGCTCCAGCCCTTCAGGCACCATTGCTGGCAGCAGAGCCGGCAAGCAGACAGAAGCCTGCCAAAAATCAGTTCTCACCTGCTCACCCTTCAGACTCCCAAGTCCACCAAAGCAAGGTACTTGTAGAGAGAGCTGTTTATTTATACACCATATCACTTACATTCAACACAACAATCAGCAAACCAGTTAACCCACATTGGCTCATTCTGCTTTGTTGTTCATTCTTCCATTTTGTGCTAAATTAATTTGCTGCGGTAAGTTGCATCACATCTGTAGCGGCTATGGCAGGAATCAAGCCACGAGGAGGACAATCGTGTGAATATATGAACTAACAAGATATCAGACAGCTTTAGACTTTATTACTGAAGCTTTTTTTCATTCATAGGTCAGATCTTGTAAGGTGATCTTCAGCAGCCTTGTTCTGAAGGCTTAGGCTAAACCTGCAAGGTGAGAAGTTATCACAGTTAATCACACCAAGTTTTGAATCCCTAAAGGGCAGGTGGTCTTCCTTGCTGTAAGGCAGATGTACGTTAGTGTGTTCCCTCTCCCCTCGTCATTGCAGCCTTCCAGTACCTAAAGGGGGCCTACAGGAAAGCTGGAGAGGGACTTTTTACAAGGGCGTGTAGTGACAGGACAAGGGGCAATGGCTTTAAATTGAAAGGGGGCAGATTTAGATTAGATAGAAGGAAGAAATTTTTCACTCTGAGGGTGGTGAGGCACTGGCACAGGTTGCCCAGAGAAGTTGTGGCTGCCCCATCCCTGGAAGTGTTCAAGGCCAGGTTGGATGGGGCTTTGGGCAACCTGGTGTAGTGGAGGGTTTCCCTGCCCATGGCAGGGCGGTTGGAACTGGATGATCTTTGAGGTCCCTTCCAGCCCAAACCATTCTGTGATTCTATCTGTTTGCTGGGACATGTTGAACTGCAGACTTCAGCAGTCACCCATCTCCCAGGTGGGAGATGGATGGATTGTCGGTTGTGCCAAACAGGCACTTGCTACAGGCTATGCTAGTTCTCCAAGCATGCTGCCACCACTCTCCTAAACAGTCAGTCCATTCACCAGCACAAAAGCTTCAGGAATTCATACTTTCTCCACCCCACCACCTCCAACTACATGTACAGGATCAAAGCAGGAAGCCAACAGCAACTTGCTTTAATGGACTTCAGTGTATGTGCTCTGTATCAATCCCCATTCTTTACCAGATGGATTGAAAAAAAAAACAGGACATTCCCACCATAATTTTACTGATTAGCTCATTTACTAGTGGTCTGGTAGCACTGTCTACTTACCATTAGCAAACCTGCACTGCTTCAGTACTTCACTGAAGCCCTCGCACAGCTTGAGATCAGTCTGGTTCTGCGCACACTCCAGGAATTGTTTCATTTCATACTGGCAAGGAGCAAACTGCTGCTGCTGCTGGTAGGCAGGCTGAGCTGCCTGGGGCTCCTGAAACGGCAGACACCTCCATAAACGCCCTAATCCAGCTCCAGCCTATGAAGCCACACCGCCCCAGTACTGCTTGTTGTGTATTTCTTCCCTGCATTTTAGTCAAAACGCCGTGTTACTTTTAAAATGGAAAACAAATAACAGGCTGAAGTACATAATAAGTTTCCAGCAGTAGCATGGCACATTCTGAAGAGTTTTGTAAGTTATAAACACTTAGGTAACTCTGGATAGCACCTGGACAAGGTAACAGCGCTATCTTAGTGTCTGAGCAGCACAAAAAGGTTTTGCAATAGATCTTATCGTCGTCAGACCTAGAACGCTTAGTCCCAACTGAATCAGAGGGGTACTACAGCACTACTACCACAAGCACGTATCACTCGTGCATCCCTTTGAACTACTTTTAAGATAGTCATGGTGACTCTAGCAGTTACCTTGGAGACTGAGTCGCTAAAGTTAACCCAGCTTTCCCAGCCATGATTTGTGTGGTCTTTACATCTACAGCAATTACAGCAGCGTATAAATAGCTCATGTGCCAAGTTAACTCACCTTGTTAACTCACTAGCACCTCATTAGCTAGTGTCCAGTTGTGCCTTCTCTTACCTGGTAAGTAATGTCAGGCCTTGCAGCTTCAGAGCCGCTTCCTCCACCAAATCCTCCGGTAAGCGCATGACCTATGGTATGGCCCACAGCAGAGCCCACGGCAACGCCGGCAGCAGTTGTAGCCATCTGCGCCATCAGACCAGGCTGCTTCGGTGCAGGAGCCGCCACAGCAAAAGCCGGTGCCGCTGCTGGGACGGGTGCCCGAGCAGCAGGCGCCGGTGATGCTGCTCTCATTTGTGGTGCCCGACTGTAAGGACATAGAGACAAAACCTCGTATCATCACTCCAGTCTCAAACTGGGCAGAGACCGCCTAGTTGCAGGGCACAAGCACCTTCATCCTCCTTGTTACATCCTCCACACCGATGGCAGGAACCCGATGTTCTGGTGAGCGATTTATGCACAGCAGGGTACG